CCCCAAGACAATAGCTTTCGGGGTGACCTACCCACCTTCCTATTCTCGGGGCAACCTGCGCTCCTTCTGATGCTCGGGGAAACAGCTTTCGATCCGACCTATGCATCATGTGGCTTTTGGAACAACCTACTCACCTTTCGGCTCTCGGCAAGGCCTGCTAGACCCAGGGTCGTGCAGAACATAGTACATACAAAACAACCCGTGCCCACAGGCGGCAAACACACACTTTGCAGAGTACAGACAAATCCTGAGACCATCCTTGAGTCCTGGTCAACTTGCAGAAACACAGCAGGATCCCAGAGGCCAGGCCTACTGTCGAGGATACAGCCCACCCATTAGGAGGCCTGTCTATCACAGAGGCCTAACCCACTCATGGAAACACAGTCCACTTGCAAAGGCACAGCTGACTGATGGAGGCTCAGTCCAGACAGAAAAAGGTGAAAACATATGCAAAAGTGCAAATACTTAAAACTGTGGTACAAGGAGCAAGCCTTGCTGGCAGGTCATCTTTGCTTCAGTTCCAAAAATAACATTACACTGGTTGTAACCAGCCAGTTGGAAAAAGCAGTTCCCCACTGAGAATTAAAATCCAGCGGTAACACTGGCTGTGACCCGGCCTGCCTGGAAATCCGTTCTCAAAAAGTGAAAAAGAATCCACAGTACCTCTGGCTGTAGTCGAGCCGGCTCAGGAGTCAGTCCCCTGAACTGAGGACATTCTGAATCTCCTGGTTATATCGGTCACCCAGGGCTCCCTGCTTGGCCCAGGTTAGCAACACCAATCAAGGATCTCACCTGGTTCCAATCACTACAGGCACCAACTCTGAACTTCAATCTTTTACAAGTTTCTAGTGAAGCCTTCTGGAACTAAGATTAATAGACCTGAGGTGGATTATTTAGGGCATTTGGCAAAGGAAGAGAGATGTTGGTGATTGAAGGACTGAATGGCTTCCTGTTTCAGTTCCTATCCATTGTCAGTGTTTCAGTCGACACATTAACACGGGGCTGACCTTTCCTGTTCCAGTTAGTCATCTGTGCTTTCAAAGAGAAATCCCACCCCCTCTCCCCAGTGGGCTTTTAATCCTTCCTCATCCCTGGGATCAACTGGGGAGCGGGTTCAGTCCTGTATGTGGATGCTAAATCACTGCTTTTTACTGTGTTCGCAGGTGATAACGTGATCTGTGGCAGTTATGATAGTCGTCTCGCCTGGTTTGACCTGGATCTCTCCACCAAACCTTACAAAATGCTCAGGTCTGTTTATCACCAAGCAATCAGCTAATATGGTAGAACAAGGAAGGCATGCCCCTGGGATGTCCAGCTGGGCATTACCAGCTTGCTGGAGTTCCCTATCTCCCGCCAGCCTTGCCAACATCTGTGTGTAGGGGATTTTGAGCTACTGTGTTGTGTCAAAGTTGGTGCACACATTAATGTGCAAAAGCAATTTTGTTGATGTATTTCAGAATTTAATTATAGGGAAGGAAGGTAGTGCACAGTCTGTGCCCAGTTTGATCGTCACATCCACCTCAATTCAAAATCCACTGAGCAGAAAACCATTCTATCATAATAGCTCAATAAATAAATCTAATCTCTGGGCCTCTGGTGGGACTTTGGGATCACAATTTGCATTTTATTTAATCTTTAAATGTTAATTATTGGTTAGACTAGTATTCACATGTGTATAAACAAGAGTAAGCCACTCGGCCCTTCAAGCCAGCCCCACCGCTGGCTGATCTGATTGTAACTCCAACTCTACATTCCCGCATATCGCTGATAATCTTTCATCGCCATGGGAATCAAGAATCTATCTACCTCTGTCTTAAAGATGTTTAAAGATTCTGCATCCACCACCTTTTGAGGAAGAGAATGCCAAAGACTCATCCCTCAGAATATTTACTCCCTATCTTCTGTCTTAAAAGGACACCCCTTTATTTTTAAATTGTGACCCTAGTTGTTTTTTTCTTGCCTGTCACTCAGAATGTCGTGATAGGTTATTTTCCTCAACTGTTCCAGTCCACGTTCTGTAGTTTCCATAGAAACACAGAAAATAGGAGCAGGAGGAGGCCATTCGCCCCTTTTGAGCCTGCTTCACCATTCATTAGGCTCATGGCTGATCATTCAACTCAATAACCTGTTCTTGCTCTTCCAGTTATTTTTCTGATGGATTCCTGCATTTTCCCCACTGCTGATGGCAGCCTGATTGGTCTGTAATTCCCAGTATTCTCTCTGCCTCCCTTATAAATAGTGGGGTTGCATTAGCTCCCCTCCAACCTTTAGGAGTTGTTCCAGTGTTTATAGAATTTTGGAAGATGATCAGCAATTCCTCCACTATTTTGAGGGATAGAGACCTAGCAGCACAATTTGTTTTCTGTTGAATGATTATTCGCATAGTAATAGTGTTCAAAGGTTCAGGGAAAAGGCAGGAGATTGGCATTTGGTAATGATGGGCTGAATGACTGTGCTGGAGTAATTCTGGATCTATCACCTGGTCAATATATAGCATGTTAATCCCTCGCTGAGTGTTGAGACTGTACGCCACCATGTTTGATTTAGCAGTACATATTTACTCTGTTCACAGGCATCACAAGAAAGCTCTGCGGGGAGTAGCATTCCATAAACATTACCCACTATTCGCCTCCGCATCTGATGACGGCACTGTCATTGTCTGCCATGGAATGGTTTACAGGTTTGTCTATTCCTTTGTTTTTTTTTTCTGTTTGACTGCCTCCCTTGACACATTTGGTTCACTAATGTGGTTGACTCTTGGCCACCCTCTGAAAAGGCTGAGGAAGACACTCAATTCAAGGGCAATTAGAGATGAACAACAAATTGTTCTTGTTCACATCCAAACGATCAATAAAGGAAAGAAAATGCTGCTTTCCTTGAGTGAAAAAGCCAAGAAGAGATTTGATGGAGTTGTTCAAGGTCATGAAAGATTTAGATTGAATAAATCAAGAAACTAGTGACGGACCAGCTGTTAGAGGACTCAGTTTTGTGGATGATTGATACAAGAACCAAAAGTAACTTAGTGAAACATTTCCTCACTTTCAGTTACAAATGTGAGGACTGCAGTGCCCGAAACCATTCCAAAGGCATTTGGATAGTTACTTCAACAGGAAATGTAATGGTTATTGGAAAAGAGTAGGAGACTGAGACTGATTTAAATAATTCACCCAAAGATCTAAACCAGCAAAACATGCCAAATAGCTGTGTGATTCGATGTATGTTTCCCTCTTTGTTCAAATGCCATGTTAATTTTTTTTTAATGGTTTTGACCCTCCCTGAGCTTTGTGTTGCATCCTACCCTCTGACTTGCTGGCAACCCAGGGTAACATAGCACCCCCCAGTAGACACAGCTATTTGAGCAAGTTGATAGAGGTTCTCCCTTTGTTCACTGCACAGTCAGTGTTCAATTGGCTGATCTCTACTGCACTGAAGATGTAAAAGTACTATCAGAGAGACATTCATTCAGGGTTCCTGTTCCTAACTGTGCTCTGGTCTGAGCTGTGGGTTGTTGGGGACATGGGCCTGTTAGCCAATGCAATGGGAAGGGTGATGTTGGACAAGTTACTGAAGAGCCACTGTTTCCTGCAAAACTACACAGGGTATGAATTAGTACCAGGAGGGGAGAGAATTTAAACAGTTTATGCCAATGAAGACATTTTTTATGTTTTCAGTGACCTACTCCAGAATCCATTGATTGTTCCTGTGAAGTTGCTGAGAGGCCACGAAATCACACGAGACCTGGGGGTTTTGGATGTGACTTTCCACCCAACCCAGCCCTGGCTCTTCTCATCGGGAGCGGACTCCACCATCCGCCTGTTCACGTAATGTCTAGCTGCTTGTACTGACTCAACCAGACTTTGTTACACATCCGCCGTTCCTCTCAATAACATTTTTTTAAAAATTTATCACTCTTCCCTTCATCCCACTACATCAAGCAGTGGATGGGATGGTGATAGTCAGTGTCTCCTGCCAGCCTTTGAGAAATTGGCCCAAACTTTTCCCACTAAGCAGCAGTTGACCATGTGATGCACACTACCCTTCCCATGCATTGAACTAATCACAAATGAGACCCTTTGCTCTCCCATTGTTACCTCCATATACTTCCCCATGCAGATTCACTTAGTATTTCAATGGGATTTACACTATGGCCGGCCATCTCTCAGGTTAGGGGCATGCAGGGCCAGTATTTCTGTTTAAAGGGTTTCTTCCCAAAGTACCAGAGCAGCCACTGAGATCACACAAGTTTCCAGTGTGTTTGGCTCAAAATAGGAACAAAACAAATCCACCTCATCTTAGAACCCCTGACATCTAGTTGTATCCTTGTCCTGTATTACCTCTTATTATTAATAGCATCATTTTCCCTTCATTCTGAAAGTGGAAACTTATTGAAATTTATCGACTTCCAAGGATGGATATTCCACTTCTTAATATGGGAGAGCTGTTGGCAACACTGAGCTAGTGTCTCTAGCTTTAAATTCCACTGGGGACTTCATGGTCAGGCTGCAAATCTTTTCATCAGGCCCTAGTGGCAGGTAGTAACAGTGTAGCAGACTAGTAGACCACCACTGTAAGCATGGTTGACCACTAGTCTGTGGTGACCAATTGCTAGCTAGCTGTTCTAGGAAGACAAGCCATGGAAGCAGAGGCATATGCCTTGTCTGCCTCATTATATGATCACAGAAACCCATTCCATTTCCTCCCTAGCCAACGTCTGCGTTTCCCTTTCATATCATCCACTTCCATACAAGTTGAATAATTATCCCCACTCTAGATCAAAATGCTGAATGTTTAATGAAGGAGTTGAACACTTAAATCTGCCTTTTCTTTTCTAAGAGCAATTCCTGTTTCTTCACGTAACTAGAGTCTCTCAACCCTCTTTACCATTCTGTAAATGAGCTCTGTACCCTCAGCAAGTGTCTCATCCTTTTTTAAAAAGTCTGGCAACAACCGGAATTGAAACAGGAGATTTGTTGGAGAAATAAAATGGAGCCAGAAAGGAATGTTTTTAAATCAGATATACATTTTTAGATCTTTGTATAATATGTACCATATTTCCACTGATTTACATTGATATTACATTCAGCAGTTTTATTATTAAAGACATCTCTACCATTTTATTAGACTTGATTCATTTACACATTTAAAAACAGTGCCAGGCAATTAAGAATCTAACCATTGCTAGGTGTGGAGTTCTGTAAACCACTTCCCTTGTGAATCAGGGAACAAACTGCCTTCACATATCACTTTTTAACACTTTAATTTTCTTTCTGATGATCTAACATGCAACAAATGGAGGCTGGGTATTTGTAACATCTTTAAGTGATATGAAGGGGGGTTGGTGGGTGTAAGCCTCGCTGAACTATTAGAATTAGTTCCTGGAATCTCCAATCCAGCAGGCAGCCAGCATCACTGCTGTACCTGAGCTTTAGGGTCACTGTGTGCATATCTACACCAGCATTGGCCACCAACTCTGTTTCGGTGACAACAAGCTTTTGTGCCAATTCCCAGTTTCTTGCAGGTCCTATGCCATGTTGAAACTGATGCACTGGCAGTGAAAAGTTAAGATCCAGGTCAGTGTGCTCCTGGGATCAAAATTCAGTTTCTGGATAACAAATATTAACAGAAAGCCTAAAACCATAGGGACAACACAGAACACTGCCTTCTTCCTTCTCAAACAAGTTACCACAGCAAGAGGCAGCTGTAGAACCCTGCATGAGAATTACAACCTAGTCATCAGTCCTTATTGGGGACTGTTAGAGGGCAAGAAAAGAAAAGGGCAGAAGTTCAACCAAAGACCCTCTGAGGCAGAATGAGAGGCTGACATTCAACCATGTGGCAGTCTATCCCAGGTGACTTCCAATCCATCGAAGTGGCAGCAGCTTCAAACATTCACAGATTGGACCTTCTACTGAAGGTAGCCATTGCCAGGTTAATGGTTATTTAGTCTAGGAGCCTACAGTTTTTACTGCCCACCTTCATGTAGCAATTAGATTCCACTCTATCCCCAGATCTTAGGTACAGGTCATTTAGCAGCTACACAGATCTGTATTTGAATTCACTGAATCTTAACTTGCTTTTGCTGTAGAGAGGCATGTTTTTTGACAGAAAAATTAGCATTTTGTGCCCAAGTGATGGAGAACAATGTGAATCAGAATTAAACAGCTCAAACTTAAGGCCAGAAAACTCATTTATAAATGAGCAGCAACTACTAGTGTGCTCATGACAGTTACTCAATCTAACTGGAAACCTGTCTTGTTCTGGACTCTCTCAAAAAGAGAACCTGGAGAGTCAAGGGGCTAGTAAAGAGATGAAAATTGCACAATCACTTCTGGATTGGAGAGATATCACACATGGCCTGTTGGAGAAGCTGGGATTGCTGTTGCCAAAATGTGACACAGTTGGAAGGCACAATTCATCCATGAAACCATATTTTGGGATCACTGTTTTTAGAAACTCGCAACTTTAAATGAAGGAAGTGGAAAAAAAAAAATCCAGTCGTTCACTGTGAATCAGCCACATCCACTGGTCCATGCTAGAAAAGAACATGTGGGTAAAGGAGTGGATGCCAATGCTGCTCACATTCATTGGTCCGGCCACTGCCTGAGTTTTTCTGCACAAGGTGTAGGCCCTTAGCCACTGCGATGGCTTCTTCAGCAGAACCATGGCTGCATCAGGCTCGGTCTATTTCAGGGAAAGAAACAAAACACCCCAAACAAGGAAGCATAAGGAGTAACTCCAATAAATGAGACATCTCATGGGGACCACCCCAGCAACAGAATGGGATCAACATGTGGGGGGAAAAAAAAACCCTAACTAAAAAGGTAATTGTGTCAATACCCTGACAATTCTGGAACTGGTGGTAGAGACTGAATTAAATAGAATTGGAATGAATTTGGGTTTTTGGAAGGGAAATGGGGATACAGACAAAGGTGTGAAAGAGCAAGTGATGAAGAGGTGGTGAACACCCCCAGAAGCATGTACCTTGTGAACCTTCTCATAGCCAGGGCTGTATCGGGTGGGAGGGGGGTTGAACATTGTAACATTTGGAGCCATTCACAAACACACTACAGTCTTTGGTTGCAGCCACTGATTGGTCATTGTGCACCCCCAGCCCCTTCCTGTAAACATGAATCCAAGGGAAACCAGTCTCCGAGTGCAGGAAAGGAGAGAAAGAAGCCTCGTCCCACATCCTATTGACCATCACAATTCGTGGAGAAGACTCAGAGCCTCAGCTGCCTTGATCCGGACACTGGGAACACCATCACGCAGGAGCAGAATGATCGCTGGGAAAGAGAAAAGTCTAATTAGAGCATTTCTTCAAAACAGTCAATCGTGCAGACCACCAGGATCAAGACTCTTCCTTCAGGGAGAACTCAGCTACCTTGGTCCCTTCCCATCCCATCCCCCCACGTCAGTATTCAATACAAGAACCACATGGTGACTCAAATGGCAGATTTCATCAGATTATTAAATGAACCAATAATCTCACTTTTGTTTTCCATGGGTTGTAGGTGTTGCCAACAAGGCCAGAATTAATTGCCCTTGAACTAAACTTCTTGCTAGGGCAATTCTAGAGAGCATTTAAGAGAATTATATGGCTATAAATTGAGAGAGGGGAATGTGCAGCGAGACCTGGGTGTCCTTGTGCACCAGTCGCTGAAGGTAAACATGCAGGTGCAGTGGGCAGTGAAGAAGGTAAATGGTACGTTGGCCTTTATAATGAGAGGTTTCGAATACAACGGATGTCTTGCTGCAGTAAGGCCTTGGTGAGATCACACCTAGAATGTTGTGTGCCATTTTGGTCTTGTGTGAGGAAGCGTGTTCTGCTATGGAGGGAATACAACAAAGATTTACCAGATTGATTCTGGAGATAGCGGGTCTGACATACAGGAGGGATTGAATTAGTTAGGATTATATTTGCTGGAGTTCAGAAGAATTAGGGATCTAAGAAACCTACGAAATCTCCGACTAAAATTCTAACAGGGCTAAACAGGGTAAATGAAGGAAGGATGTTTCTGATAACAGGGGAGCCCAGAACCAAGGGTCACAGTGTAAGAATGCAGGGTAGATCATTTAGGACAGAGATGAGAAGTTTCTTCATCCACAGTGGTGAGTCTGAGGAATTCACTCCCGCAGAAAGCCAGAAAAGCTAAAACAGTGATTTCAAGGAAGAATTGCATATAGCAGTTGGGGCTAAAGGGGTCAAAGTATATGAGTGAAAAGCAGAAGCAGGTATTGAGTTGAATGATCAGTTATGATCCTAATGAATGGTAGAGCAGGCTCAGACTGCCAGAAAGGAACATAGGAATAGGAGTAGGCCATTCATCCCCTCAAAAGCCTGTTCTGCTTTTCAATGAGATCATGGCTATCTGCGATCTAACGTCATATACCATATCTCTTAATATCTTTGCTTAACAAAAATTTTAATTTAAGATTTAAAATTAGTTGATCTAGTTTGTGGAAGAGAGTTACAAACATCGACCACTCTGTGCGTAGAAGCGCTTCCTACAATCACTCCTGAACATTCTGGCCAGGATTATAGACTATATCTACCAGTTCTAAATCCCTATCTTTTCCTGTTAATGTCTTAAAGACTTCAATCAGATCAGCCCTTAACTTTCTAAATTCTAGAGAAAACAGGCCTAATTTGTATAAGCTCTCCTCATAACAACCTTTGAAGTCCAGGTATCATTCTTGTACTCCCTCTAAGGCCACTATATCCTTCCTAAGGTGTGGTGTCCAGGTCTGATCTCAATACTCCAAGTCGGGTTTTATATCACTAGCACACCCTCTGCATCGTCATACTCCAGAGAATGGCCTACTCCTGCTCCTATTTTTTATGTTTCAAACACATTCCAGTGGGTCTGTAGTCATATGCAGACCGGATCAGGTAATGATGGCAGATCTCCTTCCTCAAAGTAAGTCACGTTTTACACTCAATGGTCCTGATAGTTGTCACAATCAACATCACTGACCTGAGCTTTACAATCCACATCCAGTAATTAACGAAATTCCACCAGCAGTCACAATGGGATTTAAACTATTGGCCCAGACCATTAGGCTGGGTTCCTGGATTACTAGCCCAGAGATACTACCACTAAATCACTGCTTGTTTGCACAACATGTGAATTTAACATGTTTTTGGGGAGGGGGAGGCAGGAGGTGACACGAAAGAGAGAGATAGAGAGAGAGAGAGAGAGAGAGACAAAAGCAAGTGTGTTGTTTGTTTTGATGCGTGTGTAGGGTAGGCCTGCCAACTCTGGAACTTCTCAGCCCCGGCTGTGCACAAACTACCAGACAGGGGCGGCCGCAGCAACAGCCCTCAACTCAGAGCCAACAGGAGGGTAGTGTGGGGATAGTAACACAGTGATATACAGGGGCAGGAAGGCGGGGGAGTGAGAGGGTACTGAAACGGGTGGGGGGGGGGACGCGAAGAGTGCTGTCAGGGCTGGGGGTACACGCTGATCTGGGTACGGAAAGTAGATTACCCGGGTGGGCAGGGAGACTGAGAAGAGGGTGTGCAAAAAAGAAACTGGGAGCGGATGTGAATTTTGAAACAGGAAGAGTTAACAGTTTGAAAGCAGCCAGCGTACAATAATGTTATTTTTTCAGTAGTTTGTTTTTATTATGAATTTGAGAAAACTTTAAATCCTGCTCCTGGGAGAGCCTCTGTATGAACTTTGATTTATCGCACAAACCTGGTCTCTGAACTCGTCCCGACCACAGCTCTCAGATCCCGACTGCATTGTAAATCAGCTCAACATTCTCCCCTCCCTCGACTTCCTTTGGACTCCTTTCAATTAGTTCATTGACTGCAGTAAGCTGAGGCAGCTTCATCGCAGGATCGACTCCATCAGCAGAGGTACTGGGTTCCTTTCCTGCCCGAGACCAGGTCTCGCTTTCACAGTCTCTGCTCCCAACCGAACAGCTGCTTTCACTTAATGCCTCAAGTGTTACAGCAACTTTACACTAACTGGGACATCTCCCTTACACCATATAAACACCCACGCAAAACACCCTTAAATACCCACTCAGGGGGGTACACAAGGGACAGCCCTACATGTCAGCTTAAGGTGCAGTGCTAGAATGATGTAGTGTACATATACAACAAACCACAGGGAGGGAGGGAGTTACCAGCAATGTTCACTCACCTGTGCACACATGCTCAAGAGAAATGGACTGAAGCTCTTCCTGTGACAGATTGCCCAGGAGAAACCCTGAGAAAAAACAAACGTTAAACCCTCCATTCAACAGAATTCTTTAACCTCAAATGAAATATACTGCCTAATCAGCAACAATTAATCTATGCACTCTCACATGCGCCGTCTACATATTATTGCCCCTCTCCCCAAACTCTCAATTAGATTCCACCCTGGAACCCTGCTGTTACTCTACATATAAAGCCCCTGAACAGATTCTGGTCTGTAACTCATTCTGCGTAATTGTTAATTCATATATAATACCCCCCACTCCTGCCTCAAACCAGAACTCCTCAATTGCTTCCTGTCTGTAACCCACTCCCAGGTATCTGTTATTTAATGATATAAGCCACCCTGAGCCCCTCGATTAGATTCCAGCTTGTAACTCATTTCCAAGTATCCATAATTCTGCATATAAACCCCCAAAGCCCATGATTAGTTTCCAGTATATAACTCACTCCCGGGTATCTGTTATCCTATATATAAACCAGCCAAACCCCTTAATTAGACCCTGGTGCTTATAACCATACACAAGGGGCTTTACAGCCACTGCTTTGTTTCACTTGTGCCCTGTATCCTGTCCCAGCCCTTTCTGCTTGGAAGATCTGGTTTACCTGTGAACATGACAGCATTTCCCCGAATCTCAGGCCACGTGCTCTTGAAGAAGGAGACATTGCCCATTATGTAGAAGTTAACCTTCTCCGGGAAATCACTGATCTGGAGGAGGAGCAAAAACAAGAGAGATCATGTTCTCATCCACTATCTAACTAACATCGCTAATGTTAGCCTGATAACACCTGGCTAACTCACCACTGACCTGTGTTCAAACAAGAAATCAATCTAGGCTCCAATTCACGAGGATCACTGAGGAAATGCAGTAAAGGTTTGCATCTGAACGTAGGCCTCCCAGGGTTTGGCCAGGTTAAGGCAAATGGCTCATTTGATGCTAGGCCAGGACATTTTGCAAGAATATCACTTCATGGAGAACACCAATATTTATACTACATGAGAGGAAAATATTGATTGGTTTGCAAGTGAAACAAACAGCAATGGCTATAAGATCCCCTGTGCATGGTTCTTGGCACCAGGAATTGATTGAAGGATTTGGGGGGCAGGGGGATGGTGAGGTGATGCTGTTTACATTTAAAATAACATGGGAGTGTATAACAGGCTGGAGTCTAATTGAGGAGTTCAGAGAGTAGAGATTTGGTTTATCAATAGAACAGATATTCAGGAACAAGTTACAGACTGGAATCTAATCAAAGGGTTCAGGGTGAGGATTTATTAGATAAAATAACATACACAGGACTGAGTTACAGCTGAACTGTAATCTACACGCCAACCAATCAGCACTGTCCTCTCACGTAATATAACCAAACATTGATTGTGCCCTTGAACTGGTATTGTTGTGAACGTCGGAGATTTCCAGGAAGCAATAGGTCAGTGAGCCTTGCATCAGTGGTTTGGAAATTATTGGGGATGATTATAAAGGACAGGATTTACTTGCATTTGAAGAATGAACTTATTAGTGATCATCAGCATGGCGTTACACAGGGAGGTCTTGTCTCTCAAACTTGATTGAGGTTTTGAGAAAGTGATGATGACAACGACTGGTAAGGCAGTAGGTGTTATCCAAATGGACTTTACTAAAACATTTGACAAGGTCCCTCATGATAGGCTGGTCCTGAGATAAAATCACATGAAATCCATGGTGAGTTGCCAAATTGGATACAAAATTGACTTGGCCAGAGAAGACAGAAGGTAGCTGTGGAGGGGTGTTTTTCTGACTGGAGATCTGTGACCAGTGGTGTTATAGTGTATTACAGCACGGAAACAGACCCTTCAGTCCAACAAGTCCATGCCAAACATAATCCCAAAGTAAGCTAGTCCTACCTGCCTGCTCCTGGGCCCATATTCCCTCCAAACCTTTCCTATTGAGGTACCTACCTATCCAAATGTCTTCTAAACATGACCATTTCCTCAGGAAGTTCATTCCACACACGAACCACCCTGTATAAAAAATTTGCCCCTCATTTCTTTTTAAATCACTTTCCTCTCACCTTAAAAATGTGTCCCCAGTCTTAAAATCACTAATTCCTAGGGAAAAGACAACTACCATTGACTCTATCTATACCTCTCATTATTCTATAAAGGTCACCTCTCTACCTCCCATGCTCCAGTGAAAAATGTCCGACCTATCCGGCCTTTCCTTATAACTCAAAGCTTCAATACCCGGCAACATCCTGGTAAATCTCTTCTGAACCCTGTCCAGCTTAACAATAACCTTCCTATAACTGAGCGGCCAGAACTGGACACAGAATTCCAGAAGAAGCCTCACAATGTCCTGCATAACCTCAACACGACTTCCCAACTCCTATACTCAAAAGACTGAGCAATGAAGGCAAGCGTGCTTATGCCTTTTTAAACCACCTTGTCTATATGTGATGCAAACTTAAAAGAATTATGCACCTGCACCCCTAGGTCCCTCTGTTCTACAACACTACCCAAGGTCCTACCATGAATTGTATAATCCCTGCCCTTGTTTGTTGTACCAAAATGCAATACCTCGCATTTATCCAGATTGAACTCCATCTGCCATTTTTCAGCTCATTGACCCATTTGATCAAGATCCCTTTGTAATCTTAGAAAATCATCTTCGCTGTCCACTATGCCACCAATTACTAACCATGTCTTCAATATTCTCATCCAGATTATTTGTATAAATGACAAACAAGAGGATCAAAAGCCGATTCCTGCGGAATACTGCTGGTGACAGGGCTCCAATCCGAAAAGCAACCCTCCACCATTACTCTCTGCCTCCCGTCGTTAAGCCAATTGTGTATCCAATTGGCACGCTCACCCTGAATCCCATGTGACCTAACTTTACTAATTAGTCTACCATGCAGAACCTTGTCAAAGGCTTTACTTGTGTTCAAGGACCAGATCTGGGATCTGTGTTGTTTGTATTTTATATAAATGTTTTGGATGAAAACATTGGTGGTCTAATTAGTAAGTCTGCAGATGACACAAAAATTGGTGGCATTGTGGATTGAGGATGATAGCAAAGGATACAGCAGGATATAGATCACTTGGAAAGTTGGGCCGGGGAAATGGCAGGTAGAGTTTAATCTGGAAATGTGAGAGGTGATGCATTTTAGGAGGTCAAATGCAAGATGAAAGTATACAGTAAATGGGAGGATCCTGAGGAGCATTGATATATAGGTGTATATATATATATATATAGATCTTCAGGTGCAAGGCCATAGCTCCCTGAAAGTGGCAGCACAAGTGCATAAGGTGGTAAAGAAGGCAGGCAGCATACTTAAGTTCATTGGTCAGGGCACTGAATATAAAAGTTGGCAAGTCATATTGCAGCTGTATAAAACTATATAGTTAGGCCACATTTGGAGCAGTGTGCACTATTGGAAGGATGTGGAGGCTTTCAAGAAGGTGCAGAAGAGGTTTACCAGGATGCTGATTGGATCGGGGTGTATTTGCCAAATGGAGAGGTTGGACGGACTGTTTTTGCTACAGTGTCAGAGGCTGAGGGGTGACCTAACAGAAGTATCTAAAATTATGAGGGTCACAGGTTTATTAAGGGGAGGGGGAGAAATTTTAAAGGACATGTGTGAAGCAAGTTTTTTTTTTAAAAAAAAGAGGATGGTAGATGCCTGGAACATGCTAACAGGGGAGGTGGTAAACACAAACGTGAACAGGCAGGGAAAGGAGGGATAGGGACCATGTGCAGGCAGATGAGATTAGTTTACAACAGCATCGTGGTGGGCTGAAGGGCCTGTTCTTGTGTTGTACTGTTCGATGTGCTGATGATTACAAGGTAAAAGCTTCATCAAAATGTCTTTTTTTTCAGCAATACTCAAGTTCTGTACAACCAGAAGACTACCTGATGCTGGACTGTTCATTTTTAAATCTAAGGTTTATAGATCGTTGCCAGTGTAAGGTATTACAGGATATATGAGGAAAGGCAGAGTTGGGAGTTTAGTTAACTGCAATTATGAATGGTGGTATAGGATTTAGTAGTAGAACAGCCTCCTCCTGCTCCCCTGCCGCTTGCCAAGTAATGCTTGTATCTGAATGGAACACTCACAATGAGTTTCGCCAGGTCGTTGATGAACTCTCCGTAGTGTAGGTTTGCTTCCTCCAGCAGGTGTTTCTGTAACATTGCACTGACACTTTCCGAGCCCATTAAAGGGCCTACTGAACGCAAGGTAAATTTACAGGCCTACAGAGAGATAGAGAGAGAAACAACCTGCTTACAATTACCAACAAAATGTCCTCACGTCTTAAAATTATTTGTATGCATAAAGTAACCATACTGCATGGGGTAAAGCTCCTTCTACCCTGTTGCCCATTAAACACTTCCAGCATACTGTTAGATAGAGTAAAGCTTAGAACATAAGAACTAGGAGCAGGAGTAGGCCATCTGGCCCCTCGAGCCTGCCCCGCCATTTAATAAGATCATGGCTGATCTTTGAGACTCAGCTCCACTTACCCACCCACTCACCATAACCCTTAATTCCTTTACTGTTCAAAAATGTATCTAGCCTTGCCTTAAAAACATTCAGTGAGGTAGCTTCAACCACTTAACTTGGCAGGGAATTCCACAGATTCACAACCCTTTGGGTGAAGAAGTTCCTCCTGACCTCAGTCCTACATCTGCTTCCCTTTATTTTGAGGCGATGCCCTCTAGTCCTAGTTTCACCTGCTAGTGAGACAACCTCCCTGCCTCCACTTTATCTATTCCCTTCATAATCTTATATGTTTCTATAAGATCTCCCCTCATTCTTCTGAATTCCAATGAGTATAAGCCCAGTCTACTCAGTCTCTCCTCATAATCCAACCCTCTCAACTCTGGAATCAACCGAGTGAATCTCCTCTGCACCCCCTCCAGTGCTAGTATATCTCTTCTCAAGTAAGGATACCAAAACTGCACACAGTACTCCAGGTGTGGCCTCACCAGGACCCTATACAGCTGCAGCATAGCCTCCCTCTTTTAAACTCCATCCCTCTAGCAATGGCAGACAAAATTCCATTTGTCTTTTTAATCACCTGCTGCACCTGCAATCCACTTTCAGCGATTCATGCACAAGGACACCCAAGTTCCTTTGCACAGCAGCGTGCTGCAATTTTTTACCGTTTAAAACATAGTCCATTTTGCTGTTATTCCTACCAAAATAGATGACCTAAAACTTATCAACATTGTACTCCATCTGCCAGACCTTTGCCCACTCACTTAGACTATCTATATCCCTCTGCAGACTTTCAGTGTCTTCTGCACACTTTGCTGTACCACTCACCTTAGTGTCATCTGCAAATTTTGACATACCACACTTAGTCCCCAACTCCAAATCATCTATGTAAATTGTAAACAATTGAGGTCCCAACACTGATCCCTGAGGCACACCACTAGCTACTGACTGCCAACCAGAAAGACACCCATTTACCCCTACTCTTTGCTTTCTACTGGTCAACCAATCCTCTATCCATGCCAATACATTACCTGTAATACCGTGCAACTTTATCTTGTGTAGCAGCCTTTGGTGTGGCACCTTGTCAAATGCCTTCTGGAAATCCAGATACACCACATCCACAGGTTCCCCATTGCTTTCTCTACACTGTCCCCGAACACTCCCAGGACAGGGACAGCACAAGGTTAGATACTAAGTCAAGCGACCCCCATACTGTCCCCATCAAGCACTCCCAGCAGAAGGACAACGCAGCATTAGATATAAAGTAAGCTCTCCCTACACTATCCCTGAACACTCCCAGGACAGGGACAGCACAGCGTTAGATACAGAGTAAAGCTCCCTCTACACTGTCCAGCTTCAATGTTACAGAGTGCTGTCTGCCTTTGCTGCTCCAATCTAACACATTCCCTCACAAAGTACCACCCAGCACATTCTCATTGCTGTGAACTCAGTCTATCACATCCAGAGTAACCCAGGTTGCGCTCAGCTCTGACACAACCCCAGGAGACCATTGGGGAAACCGACCCAGACTGAAGGTGAATAGTTTGGGTGTGACCCCCCCCCCCCCCCGGGAATTCCTGTCCCCTCAAACCCCCTGGGCCTTTGCCCAGCTTGCCCCCTGAGACACAGTACCTTCACCACCTCCTCACTGCTGTCGTTCAGATGCAGCAATAGGCTGACCAAACTCGAATGAATTTGTTCCACAAAGTCAGCTTTCGATTGGCCATCTCCAAACCGCGACAGGTTCCCGAAAACCGTGAAAGCGGCAGCTCTCACAGCGTCCTTATCCTGTAGGGAAAACATCAACTCTGTGAAACCTCCAGGAGCTCAGGGTGACTGGGGGTGGGAATCCCAAACTCCTCCCTGGGGCAGCTGAAGAGAAAAGAGAACACAATCTGCTGCCCCAAACGGTCACCCCCCGTCATGGCTGTGCAGCAACATTCAGCCAGCCTGGGACCTCTTCCAGTAACATGCGAGGGACACCGTGAGTCATTTGTCTTCGGGAGGGGAACAGACCAGGAGACAAGACCCTGTTGGGTCTGTACTTGACCCAGTCAAACCGCCCTCCACTGCCTTTTCCCACAGGAATCTGCCCTAATGAGTAAGCAGACAGTTTCTCCACACATGCTGCAGGAGAAAGTACATTTAGAAATTTTCATTCATAGATGTCACTGAAATTCACGAACATATAAAACAAATGGAAAAGATTGCTGGAATATTGGAGTTTTAATCCAGGAATGTTATCCACTGTAACTGGGCTTAGCTAAGCTCTGTTTAAACCTCTTGGTGGGGGTGGGGGGGGTGGTGGCGGTAACTGGGCTCTTTTCCAGACTTATACCTGACACAGACATTTCAGTTCCCAAACCTTTGCTACCACATGGCTTCCCCCACCCACCCCCCACGCCCGCTACCCACTCCCCCCTCCAATGCTATCCTGTGCTACACCCCCCCACCTTCTCGAAGAAGGGGCGGATGCGGAGGGCGATGTTGATCAGGATGGGCTGCACGTTGATCTCATCGAGTTGCTTCAGGACCTTGGAGAGGCCGGACATTGCCTCCAGCGTGATCAGATCGTCAGGATCATCCTTCTCGTCCATGCCAGCAATCATAGCCGACAACAGCTTGGTCGAATATTTGTGGATCTGCGGGACAGAGAATAACATCAGATTCTGCACCAGCCCAGAGTCTGGGTAACAGCCTCCCCTCACCCACCATCCATTCCGGTCAAGAACAGCTTCTTCCCGACCGTTATTAGGCTGATGAACAGACTCTCTGACTTCATACAATGTTGACCTTGCTTTGTGCACTTTCCACAGTGTAACCTTGTATGCCTCTCTCTGTCTAAGCTCCCTATGACCGGCCTGTACTTTGGTACACGTGACTACAATAATTCAAATCAAAACTACCAGTGTCCCCTCCCTCCCTGGGCTTGCATCCCGGTCAGAACCTAGAAGGAATAGGAACAGAAGTAGGAGTAGGCCATTCGGCCCCTCCAGCCGGGTCTACCATTCAACAGGATCATGATCTGATATTCCTCACGCCCACTTTCCTGCCCTTTCCCCTCAATTCCCGACTCATCAAGAATCTCTCTCTCTCCCTCTCAGCCTTAAATATACACAAGGACTCTGCCCCCAGTGCTCTCTGTGATATGGAGTTCCAAAGACTCAGCCCTGAACCAACATCCCTCCCCATACCCTCTACCCAACCTACTCCCCTGCCTGCACACTTTCCCTGGTCTGCCCCACAGCCAGGTGGCTATCCTTCCCTCCCCAAGCCAACCCCGACCTCCTTCAGCAGTACCCCCCGCCCGCCTCTCACTGTAGGGAATAGTGGGGGTTTCAAATCCACAGTGGGTACAGTCCTGACCTTATGGGGAACTCCATCAGCAGCATTCCCCAGACCTCTGATGGTTAACATTCGGACAACGCTGGACGTATCCACGAGGCAGGGCAGCAAACTGCTGAGCAGGGTATCAGTCAGGACCAGGTCAGAGGTCACACGGTGGTTCAGTAACTGCAGAAGTCAAACAGTGGGTCAGAGGTCAGCTGGGCCGTGCCATCACAAATCACCTTGAAGTACCATCCTGACAAACAGCCTGCATTTTTATAGCTCTTTCACAACCTCAGGTCCATCCCAAAGTGGCCTCGCAGCCAATGAAACATTTTTCTCAAGCGTAATGGAGGGGAAGCAGCAGCTGGCCCATGCACAGCAAGATCCCACAAACATCAACATGACAATGACCAAATAACCGGTCTGTAGTGTTTGCTGGGGGGG